ATTATTACTATATATTATAAAGGTCACCGGTATGGTCTCTGGGTGTAATAGCTGATAAAAAGAGCACTTTTCACAATTCAAGCAATAAAAACGGAATGCTGAATGCGATAGTTATAAATAGTCACCAAAATGGTAGGATGTTTATCAAAGGAAATATAATTTGTCAGAAATTAGGTTAAAATAAATAATCCTTTTTTTGAAACTCAGGTATAAAATTTTTTTTTTTATTATGGTATTCTATTTCCCGTTTTCATCTACATTCTTGCGCTTTATAACAAACATTTTAGGATAGATGAAATAAAGACGTTACGAAAAACATATGAAAAATACTGCTGGACTGAACGAAGGTTCTGGTAAAATGCAATAAAAGATCTAATAAAGATATTTTCTAGAAATGATTTTTCAACTCTGTAGCCTACCACACATAGAGACCCTTATTATTCATAACATATCTCGTCCTTATTCTTTGGACCACAAACTTATCTTTCTAAATACTCCCGTCTAAATAAAGATCTGAACAACGAAAAATCTAAATTTGTATTGAATCGTATCGCTCTCTCAGCTTATCGAACTGTGTACACTACGAGTCTCAAATTTCAGCTCCGTGGTAAGCTTCACCGATTCACGCTGGGCGCTCAACATCTTAAAAATGTTTTTATTTTATTGAAAAATTAGTATAAGTTTCATAAATACGCAAATATCACAATTTGTAATATAATTTTCATATATGCATGGGTCAGTACATCTCTTTGGATATTTTTCATAAAAACACATAAGAATCAAATTTAATAGACATATATTGTCTTTATGCATTAAATATATTTTATAAAGAAGCAAAATAAAAATATAACAGTAATTCACTCGCTTTTGAATAGAATTTGTCAGCTGCTCCTCATTTATTTCACAGTATTTCCTAATTCTTTTTTTCTTATGTATCTGGTAATCCTTTTTTTTTTTTTAAATATTTCAGACAATACAATTATTATATATTCTATGTACTTCATAATTATTTATTTTAATATTTGCGAAATAAAGAATTTAATACTAATTTTTCAAAAAAATAGAAACATTTTTAAATAAAAAAGATATGACACGTTTTGTACAAAAAAACTGTAGGCATGAATATTATCGAACCGATAATAAAAATTAGAAATATAGATCAAAGTTTAACGGGCTTTCTCTGTTTTTTTTTAATTCTTTTCTCATGATAAGGAACCGACCTTGGGGTGTAGGTTGCTGACAAAATCTAATATTTTTAAAATTCTATCTATCAAGATTGAATGCTAAATGCGATAGCAATAGATAGAGACGAATATAATAGAATATTTTACGACAGAAAGATACGCCGTCCTAATCCAAGTAAATATAATATACATTTTTTTGAAACTCAGGTAGATGAATTTTTTTTCTCTTACACTTTTGACACTTTCTGTGAAAGTGAGATATCTTTATCATAGGTTAGCATACACAAGTATTTCTTTTTGTGTTGCAACTAATAACTGTAGATGATGTTAAAGAAAGGAACAATTGTGGTAGTATCTTTTTTGTTTTATCGGGTTTTGAATTACAACGCTTTTAAAATTTATTTCTATTTTCGTTGTTTTATTTTATAATATTTAAAATTTTTTTAAAAATTTTTTTTCTATATTTTTTTTTTCTATATTTGTAAAATAAGTTATATTATTTTATTCTTATTGGAAATATAAAGTAGATAAGGTTTATTTGTTTTTGTAACGTGTCTAGTTTCTTCTATTTAAAAGCTTTTCTATTTTATTGAAAAATTAGTATAAATTTCCTAAATACACAAACATTATAATTAAAAAACATGTCTTTGGATATTTATAAGAAAAACGTTCTACAATGTTTTTTAATTTTCTTTCCCTGATGTATCTGATAATCATTTCATGTTTTTGTAAAATATTGCAGACAATACAATTATTATATTCTATATATTTCATAATTGTTAATTACAATATTTGCGAAATAAATAATTAAATATTAATTTTTCAATAAAATAGAAACATCTTTAAATAGAAAAGAAATGACACGTCTTGTAAAATAAAAACAGACTACGCACCTTCTTTCTTTATTTGGACCGTCGGTGCGTTTGGACCTTATAATTTTGGCGCATACCTACGTGCTTATCTCTGTTTATTCCTTCTACCTTTCTATCGCTCCAACCTACAAACATTTCGAGTATCGAAAGAATACGTGTCCACGTTTTGTAGTATGCAGTCGCACACAAACGCACACATATACAATCAGAAGCGATATCTACGAAGCATAGCATAAAAAGGAGACCGAGAATAAGAAAAATTGTGTAGCCATATTCTTTCTCTCTCTTTGGCAGGCTCAATCCTATATGTTTGTCTCTCTTTCTCTCGCTATTTAGTATAGCAGCCGTTTCATAGCTTCGTTACAACATAGCTGCGTTACTTTACTTTTCAGATCACTCCCATTCTAAAGAATTTTTCACTTTAATAAATCTTACAATTGTCTTTCTTTTGAAACTGTGCATTTGTCACATTCTCTCGAAACTTAGATCTTTAAAGGTTTTACTTCTAACACGTGTGATTTGTTATTTAATATTTCATACATATTGTATGAGGCCAAGATTCCTCAATTAAGAGTCCTCTGGCAATTTCGTATATTCTATGATGTGGAAAATAAAGGGTTAGGTTTAGGTGTAAAATAAAACACGTGATTGAGCTAAACCAAGATGCAATGCTTTATTTGCTCGTCAGGAAAAAGCCTTGCGGCATTAAAACTCTGGATGATATTAGATTATAACAATGAGAATCCACCACGTTACGTTACCACGCGGGAAATTATCGTCAACGTGAAATGAATATAATGGAAAGATCTCACGTCTCCTCGCGACTTAAACTTCCTCGACTTAACTACCTCAACTTAACTCCTTCGACTTAGCTCTTTGCTCTCTCGTTTCGACTTAGATGTATATTTACAGGCGTCTAGTGGTGGAATAGAAAGAATGTCCTTTTGTACTGGCCCAGCAGGGCGTATGCACTAGGGGTGTGAGAAGTTGGGATGCGAGAGGTGGGGGTAACTATATGAGCGTTTCGATAGTCGCTGGTAGTTGTTCGATACTCGCAATGAGTATTGATCTAGAATCCTAATAGATAGAATCGGACGCGCGCGATTTTCGAATACCGCCAGTTACCGTACGGTCATTTCGGATCGTACATATTTAAACTATGGTATTTTAGGAAGGAAAACTTTTCTTTAATTTTGTTTGTTTGTTTTTTATACATATTTATTTAACAATATAAAAAATGCCAGCAACTAAAGACATAAAGTCTGAAACTAAGGAGAAAAATATGATACGGAAGATTCCAAAGATTTCAACGAAACGTGGTCGTGCATTTCGTGCACGCTAGAAAGCGTTATTTAATGTGCTGAATAATATCTTTAATGCGAGTTATAATTTTTCCACTGTTAAAAAAATAGTGAAAACGATCATCGTAAGTCATTGAATAGCTTTTAGACAATATACATTTTACACCTTGATTTACGTTTTTATTATTACGCGTAGCAGACAATGTTTCACGTGGAATTGAATAGCTTTCAAAGGGGCTCATACTGATTGTACTTTTTTTTTTTAGGTGGACGTGTCAAGGACATAAGAAGGTCATTAATGTTTTTTTAAATGGAATTATATATTTTTTATTGCATCATCTGATGCTCGTTTATATTATTTACAAAAAAGTATTAACCTATTTAGGTAAAAAAATTATTACTTTAGGAGATATTTTAATTTTTGTCTATTTACAAAAAAGGTTCAATATGGCGACCATTTGCATCAGAAAACTTTCTGAATCGAGAAATTCATGACTCAATAACGTTTCTTAATGTATCTTATGTTATTTCCTTGCATTCATTGACGATACGATCCCTTATATTGGCCATTGTAGTCGGAGGCTCAGCGTAAACTTTATTTTTTAAGTAGCCCCATAAGAAAAAGTCGAGTGGCGTTAGATCTGGTGATCTAGCCGGAAAATGTTAGTTAGACTGGGGGTAAAACTGGTCGTCCCCGAGATAAAGCATTGAATTTTGCCATGGAAGAAATATTTGCATACATCGAAAATAGTGATGACTTTCAGTTTACCTTAGAAGAATTAAAAAATGTTTGTAAAAATTCAAATATTAATAATAAAACTGGTAAACTACGATTAAAGTTAAAATATGGTGATAAGGTTATTATCACAGAAAAACCCGGACAATTAACATTTATATGCTTTATCGATAATCATGACGATCTATTAAATCAAGCCTGGAGTGAAAAAAAAGATCTAATTGAAAAGAAGAGCGATTTAAGATTATGGAAGCTGCGGCAGCAATCATTCGAGAAGATATTCAATCGGTAGCCGTCGATAATTTTCAGTATCCTCCACCTAGTCGCATGTTTGAAGATATAAACAATCTTATTCCGGAGTCATTAACATATTTTATAGAGCCAATTATTTTAAAAAAGGAACGGGTAAATTTAAAACATTTAAAATTAGTATGTACAAACGTTAGTCACAGTATTATGGAGAATACAGCTTCAGCTAACTTTAGAATCGCTTTTTCTCAGAAATGGTAAATCTTAGATAAAAAAGTATAAAAACGATTTTAGTAGATAATTTTCTGATTTACAATTTTAGTAAAAACTGTTTTTATCGTAAAACTAACCGTTTGACCAAAAAATTCAGAAAAACCCATTTTTGCAACCTTTGGCCTTGAATAAAATTTTTTGCACACACGGAATCAATGGGGACTTTTAAATCATTTACCTAAGATGCTTATTAAACATAAACAGAACAAGTCCTCTAATCGTGAAATTCTGACACTTTAACCTTATATATTGATAATTTTATTAAAAAATGTAAACTTCAGTAAAATATGTTAGGTAATTCTTGAGATATAATCTAAAGCAGTTAAAAAAATAGTATAAAAAACTAAGATTTAGAATTTTTTTTTAAATTTTTAATAAATCTTACCGCAATAATCTTGTATGCGATTCAACAATTGCTTGGATTTCTTCCCTATTTTTTTGGGGATTAATATCTATATTGTTTACTTGTAATGCAAGAACTGACATTTGACCACAAATGTGATAAACGAGAGTGACCATAATACAATCTGCAGCACTTTGTCCAAAACCACTGATAAAAACAAACGGTAGTTCGAGAGCGTAGATGACGATATAACTTTGCAGATTTTCCAATGGGTAGAAAGTATAAAATCGATATGGCAGCAAATAAAGGGTTTTGCTTATATTTCCTTCCTCTATTGTTGGAAGTCCTATAAAAAAATCCATATACATAATTAATTTAAGTATAAATTATAATATATCTTTATAATTATATATTTTTAATATAAATTTATTATGTATAATGTAATAGAATATAATAAAATTTAATATAAATATTATATATAATTCTAAGTATTAGTATAAATATAAGTATAATAATATTAATTATATATTTTTATTAATTCGATTTTTTCTATAAAAATAAATTTAATATTTGATATATCGGTTGTCTATAATAAAAGTTAATAATTTATTTTAGAAAACTAAATTATTAGTAATAAAATAAGCATTTTTTGGAAGCGCTATCAAAAAAATATTTCTAGTAAATTCTATCTTAAAAATAGAATTTGTAACGCATTATTTTAGAACAACATTAAATAATTCTAAATTTATAATATTACCGTTTTTAAATATTAAGCTAAATATCAAAAAAAATTACGTTAACTATAATTATTTAATTTTTTCGGAGCATACTTTATTTCTATCAAAAAATTTCTTACCGTTGCCCAAAGACACTAATAATGGAGTCAAGTAATACGAAGACGCTGTAAGAGCGACGAATGTAATAAGAAGCTTCATAAATAACTTTGATTTAGCGTTGTACGAAATAAATAGCTGTCTTTCCTCTTCTGATTTATATCTTTCTCTTACGAAATCTTTAAATACTTCAGTAATGAGGTCACCTATCTCATCGTTGTATTTCCACAACATGCTCATTCTCACAAATATCTGGGAGAATGCCATATTCTCCGTTAAATTCATAATAACGTGTTCCAGATTATTAATAAATATAAATAGATCTAAGTATTCCAAGATCATGAGAAAGCAAAAGTATCCAAAATTAAGAGAAAATCGAAGATTGTTTCGCGAATGAGGCCACAGACCTATAGTAGACATTAATTTCTTGTTCCAAGATAAGATCACAGCTGCACGATCAAATTCTTCTTGTTCCTGTCAATTATATTTAGGTTTAGCATTGTATTTTAAATACTTATACGTCTTTAATTTTCTATGTCTTTTTTTATATTTTTCCTTATTGTAACTTACATTATTAATTCTTATTTTATATTTTATTTAATAATAAAAATTTATAAATGTAAATACTTTTTATATTATTTTTACATTTAAATA